TTTAGGTTTCTTCCTGTAGTAACACTATAGATTAATAAGAGATGCATGACTCTTACTGGACCTCTATATGAAGAAAAGCTAGAACTGACAGAGCTATATTCAGTATAAGTAAAGTTAGTTTAGTTTAAGCTTCTTCCTGCAGTAACACTGGACATACAGAAATGTTTCTTCCTGGACCTCTCAGAAGGAAACCTCAGAACTAATAGAGCAAAAACTAGTATAAATAAAGTTAGTTTAGCCTCTAATTCAAATTCAAAAAGGATACATTGACCCATTAGTTCAATACAAATCGTCAAGTACTCTTGAATGTTCGCCAGGAGATAAGCACATCTTTAAACAAAAAATAAGTGGCAAAATACAGTAGTATGGTAACTAGCCATATTCTTTATTTGGAATTGTACATTATAGAAAAGCATTCTGATAGTTAATTAAATACTGCGAGGCCTATACTGTATGTCAGTGGTTAACAACTGCATTTATATACTATACCTTAATGAAGTGCACAACATGGCTGTCAATAACGACCACCATTTTTCTTTTCGATAATCACCGGTCACTACGCCAAGAAGACTAAAAAACAAACATCAAATGGCAGAGTTATGTATAGTCTCCCTCACAGCCGCTCTACATGTGACATTGTATGTGAATTTTCAGTAAGGGGGTGAACAAAACCACTAAATAATGTCGACTTACGCCAGAGCTTTGGTATAATCTCTCGCATGATAATATTCCTCTCCCATTTGTACCACTAAATAAAGAAAACACTTATTGGTCCAGTATCACCCCAGGAAGAAACCGTATATAGAGTATTCAGAGACGAGGTGTTGGGTCAAACTGGATGTACTTTTCCCACATGTAACTGTGGAGACGGAAATTAAAGCTTTGGAAAAACAAGGATGAAAGTTGATTAAAGTTGCCACTGTCGCTGGCGTTTCACCGTTAACATTAAATCAGTCTTACAGAAATATTATTATAAATCATTAGAAGTCAATTATAACCCTAAAAATCCGCAAACATTTAGAACCATAGGCCTGAAGTGTAATTCTGTACGCTGTCTAACATCGCCAATAACTTGCTGCTACTAGAAGTTGAAACTAAAGCTCATTTTAAATGTTAGTAGTCAGTTTGTTATAATAAGTGATTTATTTAAATAATTGTTTATGTAATATATTAATTGTTTGTTGTCCCTGCCAAAACTTTCTTGTAAATATGTGCGTGTAAATTTTCGTTATTAATAAAGGCAAAGTTAATAACTCTCATGGACTCTCATGGACTCTCATGCAGTCTCGCGTCAACTTTGAGCTGCTTCAAATTTAGATGAGAATTGATTAGAGTTTTCGCGGTAATATCCAGTTCATTCTCATTCAACTCTTGTTCTCGTTTGACTGGGCACGAGAGTTGATAAAACTCTCATGCAAACTCTCGCTTCTCAACTCTCATCAACTCTCACCAGGGCTTAACCACAGAATACGAGAGTTTTCGCAACACGCACGCTAATTCATTTAGAGCGAGGTTACTATAGTCAACTCAATCAGTATAATACAATAATTCACTTCACAGAGTTCGATTAATTCAATGACTATATTAATTGTTTCCTACCAGAAAAATACAAGGAGAATTTCGACGTTTCGAACCAAGACAGTGTTCATTCCCTCATAAACTCTGGCGCAACTCTTCTTCTCGTTTAACCGCCTGCTACGCAGGCTAGTTTGACCGGGGCACGAGAGTTGAGAAAACTCTCATAAACTCTCACCGTAGTTTGACCGGGGCTTAAACACGGAATAAGTAATGGATCCGCACATTGCAAGGAATTGAACTTCGGTTGCTTCCAATTACAAAATGCGGTTTTACATACTTAAGAAACGTTTCATTCTGGGTGATTTGTACTTCTTGAACTGTGACACAGCGTTACTTAGTAATGGAATGATGATCCACTAGAAACAAAGGAAAAGTTAAGTCACAACTATACTGGTATTTATAAAGTATATAAATACTCCTAAATATCCACATTATCAAGAGCGCACCCCCTCAGAAATTTTCCCACCCCATCTAGAGAAGTTTGCACCCCCCCCCCAATTAAATTACAGTAGTGTGATTGAAATAAGGATTTTGAACTAAGACCAAAAATCTCAAACTGAATTTCCTTACCCCCTTAGCGACTGTGCCCCAGACCCCTGCTTGCTCGGCGGCCTTATGCGTCTCCTCGCCTACCTTCCCCCTTGGATTTTCGGCACCCCCTTCCCAGAGCAAAATCTGAAAATTCGTCTATGCGTTGAAGGGTTTTCATAGATGGAGATTTCGAGAGTTAATATATACAATCTTCAGACGTAACCAGGGGCGACTGCAACGCTTTACTCGTAATCACACGCCGCAAATTCGATTCCTACAAGAAGTCCTATATATATAAATGAATAAGCTTTCGTTGGTAGGAATGCAACTACCTGAAAAGGTGGACTTCAATGATTTGGATACTTGCACTTCACTTGGTGGAATTAATATTAGAATGTTAGGGTTTGTAATCCAAGTGAGAATATATACATTCTAAGACCTAACCAGGAACGACTGCGAAAAATGCAGCACAAGGTCCTCTGGTAGGAATTGAACCTACGGCCCTGCGATTCTGGTGCACCGCTCTAACCAACTGAGCTACAGAGGCCAGCTGTTAAGATTCAAGTCTTGTGATTTGATTGCTCCATTTAAAAGTAGAGCAGATTTAAAATGTTCGTTTGCCGTTGACCATTCTGAATATCTTTTCGGCAGCTTTATTCCTTTTCTTAAGAACTGCCTGAACTGGACTTGTTTCATTTTCAGCCGTAGTTAAATTTGTAACTTCATCATCCGCAAGAACTCCTTCTGTGTTGTCATCCTCATTCTGTTCTTCAAGATCTGTACATAGCTCGTTGTTAAGCCCATGTATAACGCGACAACTACGCTGGTGCATCTTGAGACCCCGAGTCCCTTTACAAATTTTTCCACAGCAGCATTTAACAACAGTCCGGCTTGAAATAACGACTGTAGGTGAATTCACGACAGGCACTTCCCTTGTTATTGGACTTTCCGAATCACTTTGTTCTGCTTGATCAACTCGTTGTTTACAACGCCACGAGTGTCGACCAAGCGTAACAAAATCTTTACCACAGAATGAACAGACAACGCACATTAGCAACATAGCAATAAAACTTGATCGAATCATGGTTAAACACCTTTATATTGAATTTTTGAACATATACGATGTGATAATTCATGTAAGAAATGAACGATAAAACTAGAGACATGTACAGAGCGAGTACGGCTGTGCTCGATGTCGTAATAATAATGGAAACTTTTTATTAGATATTTACGATATACTATATATACATTGATAAACCTCACTTAATAAAAGGTAGCTTATCGATGTCCACTTGAATTGAGTTTAAAGCTAAAATATATATACATGTGAAAATCTTTTAAATTTAGTTAAAAGTTTAAAAGTTCTGGGTTGTTCCAGTCTTTGTTTCGTCTACAGAATATATAATACGACGTGCGAATACAAGTAGCAATTATTTCTTTTTTACATATTTAATACATTGTTCGTCGTACTTCAGATCATGGAGCATATCAAATAAAGTATTCGTCGATTCACCAAATACACCTAAAGAGCTTATAGATACATTAACAAACTTAACTTCATCATATATATTTTCTTGATCGGTAATTAGAGTCAAATATTTTTCATGTTTTCGATCTGAGTTAGTTTTCAGGTTTGTTTCGAATCCAACAGTTAATTCTAGAATGTACAAAATCTTATTTTCAATTGTCAATAGAAGGTCTGGTCGTAACTCGTCACCAGTGATGACAGATGGGCTAATAAATCCAGGCAGATCTACATACATTTTGGACCTTCCGACGTCGAGAAGGCTGGACGCAATGAGATTCAAAACTGAATCATGTCGCCATGTATATCTTCCTTCGTTTAGATATGTCTTACATCCAGAGATTATGTGCAAAAGCGATTCAGGGCAGAAGCAGAACGAACAGTCAGCAGATGATGACAGTCCCCATCTAACTAGGTTTTTCCTAGTAGGCAAAGAATTGTTGATGTAACGTAGACTGAAGTTAGATATGTTCTTAGGAAGTTTTGAATGAACCGATGACCATAGGGAATTGAATGCCAACGTGGAGTTTTTCACGATGTTTGAGAAAAAAGAACCTTGTGAAATTAGGTTATTTTGTAGTCGCTGTTCGTTTTTTTGTCTAAATCCCTTCAATACATCTTTTGTGTTTGAGTAAATGTCGTACTGAATGTTCCTGTTGGTGCTTGTTATTGACCATAATTCACGTATGTTTTCATTTATCGATGACTTTAAAGCTAAGCGTGAGACAGTTTGGCACTGTATAAACTTCGTTGAAGGTAGAATGACATTTAAACCAAATTTGTTGTAATTGAGATAGACATTGCTTAGAGTTGCAGATATTGGCAGTTCGAGCCATTTTCGTATATATTTAGTAGCAATAACGTCCAAAGTCTCGCAAACCCATGTTTGAGATATATCAGTTATTGTGAAGTCCCATGAAATTTTCGAGAGCAAGTAGCGACTGTAGAGCAGGATTTTATTTCGGGGGTGCAAATGTAATTCATCTATTTTAGATATGATATTATTAAACAAGTCACATATATCCGAATGGTGTTTTTCATCTGACATGTTGAAATTAAAATAACGACCAAGGTAGCGGAAAGATTCACCAGTTTCGGTACGGGGTACAAGTAGGTGGCTAATAAACAATTTAGGTTGATATTGAACAGATTTAGATGAGTGTTTTTTTAATACCGAACGTAGAGCACTTGTCAACACGTATAATCATATTGGCCCATTGACACCATACCGAGAAGCGATTGAGCAGGATTTGATTTTCTTTTTCTTGGCTACTAATGACAGCCGCGTCGTCTGCAAACTGGAACCAATGAATTGGATTACACGGAATACCAGTTTTATTAAATTTCCAAAAACCAAGCTGCAGGAATGATTCAGATTTAATGTGTTGTACGAAGGTATTAAAGGACATATTGAAAAGGAGTGGACTAAGGCAGTCACCTTGTAAAACGCCACGGCCGACGGTAATGAAAGAGGTACTGAATTTTTCAGTTATGATAGATGTTTGGAAGTTAGTATAAAGACTCCGGATTAGTTCATTTATAGGATCAGGTATATGATGATATTGAAGAACTTTGTAAATAAGGTTGTAATGTAGTTCACCGAATGCATTCTTCAGATCGAGTAAAGTGATTACAAGTGACCTTTGTTTTATACGGGCTGTGTTGATTATGTGCGCCATATGGGCTGTATGTTCAACAGTTCCTGCAACGTTTGGGGTAAAAGCTTTCTGGATGTCATGTTCTATGTAATTGTTTTCAGATAGGAAAGCGAAAATTTTGTAATAAAAATAATAATAATAATAATAATAATAATAATAATAATAATAATAATAATAATAATAATAATAATAATAATAATAATAATAATAATAATAATAATAATAATAATAATAATAATAATGGAAACTTTAATAATTTTGTTATATACTATATATATACAATTGTAAATCTCACTAATTTAAGGTAACTTACAATTGGCTATTTGAATCACAACTATATGAACTAATGAATGAATGAATTTTGAATGAATGAATTTAATTTGATTTGACACCAACATTACAAAAAAAAAATAAAAAATAAAAAGATTGTAAATTACATGCATATACTGTATATATAAATATTATAGAACTGTTGTATAATAGTTAGATATTCAAATAAGATAGATAAGTTATATAAATAAGTATAGTTCTATAAATAAATTTTGTTCAGTCATCATGTTGGTGACAAGGAAGCCTAAGACGAAACCACAAGGCTTATAGGAGTTTAGGCTCCCTTTTAAATGAGCACAACATATATATATATATATATATATATATATATATATATATATATATATATATATATATATATATATATATATATATATATATATATATATATATAAACACAAAGGGGAATCAGACGTTTAGAGCATATGAAATTATTTTACCAGTTTCATAATATAAATGATGGCTATATTAGATATTTTAACATTCTATTCCTGAAGCAACTTAAAGTCTCTGAATTTTTAATGTTTTCCGGAGGGGAATTCCATTTTTGGGGTCCTTGGAACAAAATAGTAAACTTCTTTATGTTTGTACGACATGTATGAGGTCGATATGCATTTGCATTTCTAGTGTTGTAAGAGTGCATGTGACGACTAGTAATGAAAATATTATGAAATGAAGGTGGAAGTAAATTATAATGATAGCAATACATGAATTTAACAATGTATAAGAAATTAATTTTATAAATATCAAGCAGATTCAGCCGATAAAACAGTGGTGCAGTATGTGCTGTAAAGTCAGCGTTTGTCAAGGCTCTAACAAGTTGTTTTTGGATTAAAAATAATCTTTTTACATTTGTGACATAGGTAGAAGACCAAATGACGTTGCAGTAGGTCAGATATGGGTAGATCAAGGTATAATATAGGGATAATTTAGTTTTCATAGACAATAGAAAACGTGATCTATAGATTATGCCGGTGGATTTTGAGACTTTTTTGCAGATGTGATCAATATGAAATTTCCATGAAAGATTTTCATCTATAAAAACTCCAAGGAACTTGACCACTCGTTTTTGCGTAAGCTTATTTTCATTAAACATGAGCGGTATCATAAGAGTTTTTAATTTCTTTTGTTTAGGTTTAAAAATAACGTAGTTTGTTTTCTTGGTATTAACTGACAATTTATTCGCCTTCATCCACAAGCTAATACTACTCAATTCTTGATTTAAGACAGTAGCTAACACAAGTGGATCAGAATGTGAGTAGTAAATACTTGTATCATCTGCAAATAATAATGGTTCCGCTAATCGCAAGGCATTCGGAAGGTCATTAATATATAGAATGAAAAAGAGTGGTCCTAATATGGAACCTTGAGGAACGCCACATTGAATAATCTGTTTGGAAGAGGAAACATCATGCTGTACAAATTGTTCACGGTTTTCAAAATAGCTTTTAATCCACTGTAACGCCACACCACGAATGCCATAACGTTCAAGCTTAGAAAACAATATTTGGTGATTTAATGTGTCAAATGCTTTAGACAGATCTACAAAAACACCGGCTGTAATTTTATTTTGATCAATGGCAGTTGCAATCTTGTTAGTCAAATGAATTAAAGCAAAATTAGTTGAATTATTTTTACGAAAACCAAATTGATAACAATACAATATTTCGAACTTTTCAATAAATTCAATTAGTCGATTGTACATTACCCTTTCAAAGATCTTCGAAAAGTTTGATAGAATTGAAATAGGTCTGTAATTATTAAAAAGTTCTGGGTCATCGGCTTTATAAATAGGGATAACTTTAGCCGTTTTTAATTTGTCGGGGAAAATACCATTCTCAAGAGAGAGGTTAATTATACGCATTAATGGTTCAGAAATAAATTGAAAAGAGCCTTTAATAAGCTGCATTGGGATGCCATCAGCACCAGGTGCCTTCCCAACTTTAAGAGACATGCAGATTTTATACAGTTCAAGAAAAGTGATTGGTCTCAAAAATATTGTTTCTTTGACATGAGGTCCAAGAAAATTTTGAAAAGAAACATTTACTGTCGGGATTTTACTTGCAAGATTCGGTCCAACATTTGTGAAGTATTTGCAAAATCCATTCGCAATTTCTAAAGGGTCAGAAATTATTTTGCCGCCAGATTTGAAAGAAGATGGCGGGGAATGTATTTTCTTATCTTTATTAATGACTTCATTAATTAGCCTCCAGGTTTCCTTTAAATTATCTTTCGCTTGTTCGAATTTATTGTCATAGTAAGAACGCTTGGCAATTCTAATTAAATGGTTTAATTTGTTTTTATAAGTTTTGTATTGTGATTCACGAGCGGGAGTTGTATTTTTAATTAGTTTTTTGTAAAGTCCATTCTTCTTCTTAATGGAAACTAATAAACCTTTCGAAATCCAAGGGGTCATTGACTTATTTGAACGATTTAGTTTAATTTTTTTAAGAGGAAAACATTCTTCAAAGTGTGTGTTGTATTCTGATGCAAAAGCATTAAATTGAATGTTAGGGTCCTGTCCTACCACAACATTTGACCAGTCCACCTGTGACAAGCTAGTGTAGAAAT